ATATTGCACATAAAAATGGCAAAAGATTTCAGACAAGCTGGCTAACCTGATTGCATGACTACCAAGAAACAAGGTTCTCACACTGCTGTCAAAAGCACTTCTGAGTACACTAGAGGATGGCATGGCCTACATGAACTGAGGAAAGCTTTGAAAGATATTCAGTGTTTTCTTTGAGGTAATTGGTAGGATATCCACAAAAACTAATTCTAATGGTTCACGGTGAATTTAAATGCATTTATTTGACATGTTAGTCGAATGAGTTCTGCTAAATAATAGTTCTGCTTTTTATTTTTTTTCATTATAGTTAACTATTATTTGTTTTGTCTGTCTGTAGATGCTTACATCAATCCGGAAGACTTTGGAGCAGGTCTCAGAGATTGACATAGAGACTTTCCTGGTACAGATAGAAACCTTGTTTACTACACATTTTCTCCCTGAGACCGGCTCTTCTTCCTCTCATCTTCATGAAACGGTAACACAGCCTCAGTTACTGTCATTCATCTCCTCTGAGCCAATCAACAGCAGCCATGCCACGGATGAGACGTGTGTTACTGAGTCTGACAGCCCAGATGAACTGTAACTACAAGACCTGTCGACCATGTTAAAAGCTGTAATGAAAAAGAGGATGCACCTGTTACACAGTCTATCAACCCTACTACCCTGTAAATAATAACAATAAACCTAACAATCTGAAGGTAAAAACATACTATAAAGAAACCTGCTACTGCGGAGGACACGTGTATCATTCATGCGTTGTACAAAATTGTGTAACATTGCATTCATGTTGATTTTTGTTATGTACGTTTTATAATATCGTTTTCATGAAAGTTGAGTTTAACCACAAAGCTCTATTTAAAATTAAAGTTTAAAGTTAAACATAATACTTTTTTCTTTTTTTTTGTAGTTTGATGGCATTTTGTCATTCAGTTTGATCACAGTGTTCAAGAAAGTGTTTGTGACCATTTATAAATAAAAGTATTCTGAAAAAGATTAACTGAAATTGGAGTAACACAATTTGAGTAAAAACGAAATGTTAACTCTGGCAAAGGCTGTCCTTTTTACTGTTTAATTTCGATCACGTTAGCATTTCATAATATGTGAATTTTAAATGCATAATGTGCCCATATAACCTACAAACTATGACTTAGCTTATCATTGTAATTATTACGCAAACAAGAGTAAAGTTGAACGTTCAGTGTATTTTATAATAACAATGGAGCAGATTTGTCTTCACCTGGTCAAACTCAACATGTTGTCCAGAATAAGGTCATTAAACCGTGTTGATTCAGTGGTCAGATGGTGTGGACAGAGACAGCGTCCGTCACTCTTCGCCTCTGCTCGGACTGATCTCATGAGGACAAACTCATCTACATCTCTGAAACCAAGAGGATCTGTCACAGTTTCTCTTTCATCTCTCTGTTTGAGATCAAGACTCAGCATCTGTATAACAGCATTCAGACCTCCAGTTCATCCGTTCATCATTCAGTCCACGCGGGAGTTTCACACCTCGGGCAGACTGAGAGCTTTACCTGCACCCTTGATATGGATGGTGCTGAAGCCACTGCAGAAGCTCATGGCCATCATACTGGGCAGGTGAGGTTTCTTTTAAACAAATACTTAATAACCTTTATAAGAATGACATACCTCCCCATCTTCAGCCATCAGCCTTTGTCAAGAACAGATGAAGCTGGTGAATCAGTGAACAGCTCTAGGTTTTAACTAGCAAGAGTGATGCACCAAGAATTATGGCCAATGCTGATGCCTATGATATGATACAATACATTGCCTGGGCAAAAAAAAAGCAAACAGTCAAGAGTATAAGATTTAATCTTTATTGCAGTGATTAATATGTTTCTGGCTTATGCGTTTTGCAACCATTCTTTTAATCCTGATTGTGTAGCTTTTTATTTCTGAACTATGTTGGAAGACATACCTATGTACTTATTTCAGCATGACAATGTCAAGATTAATTGGACCCAAATTGTGCAGTAGTGATTTGGGCATCATGAGGACTAAGTCCTGAGCTTAACCCTATTAGAAGTCTATTAGAAATGTTATGATGTTGCATAACATTGTTGAAACAATGTAATCAAAGTGAAAGGTGGTCCAAAATATTGGAGTGTGCAACTTTTTTTGGGCAGGCAGTGTAAAGTCGACTCCAGCACATCCCAAAGACATTTCAATCTTTCATAATTTGAGCCTGATGAATCTTTGCATTGTCCTCCTGGAATATGAACATGGGTACATTTTCTGATGTGTTTGTTTAAGAAATAAAATCTACGCACTGCATCAGTTAAGAGCTAAAAGTGGTGTTGCTAAATTTGGCTTTATTTATATACATGAATACAATGGTTGATAATTAATAGGATGGCCAATATTTAAATCTATACAATTTTTTTTATATAAAATTTGTCAGATAAATATATTCTTTGTAGATAAATATTTGTTTCATAATATTGTTAGTTATGGTCAGCGATTATACAGTAGTAGCAATATTTTATATCCATTCAGTAGTTTTTTCCCAATCCCCAATAATTAGCTGATCTTAATGTTTACATAACTTACAAAATGTATCTATATGCTTTTTTCTAAATATATTTGAAACTGTATTTACACGAAATCAATTAGAATTTTACGGTGAAATCAGAATTTAAAAGTAGCGGTGGCAGAAACGAATCTTTTCGAAGCTTCGAATCTTCTGAACAAACATGACTCACTGTTTCGAAGCATTCGATACACCACACGCTAGTGACGCCTGCTGGGCAAAACGGCATATCTGCAACAAAAACTCAGTCCAAAAAAATAATAGATGCAAAAAAACAGTTTTTACGAACCCATTGCAAATGTTTTATTGAAATTGCAATTAGCATATATATCCTTAAAATATGAGGCCGGTATACAAACCACTGAAACATTTCGAAACAGTTGTGAAGTAACGAAGCCTCGGTAACTGAAATCGCATGTCTTTGGCCGTTTGATATGCGCTCCAAACCATTGGTTCGATACAAATGATTCGCTAAGGTTTCGAAGCTTAAAGAAGCTTTGCTTCGAAGCATTCATCAACTAGTTAAATACATGTTAATGTATCATACATATAGCAGTAATATTGTAAACCTCTTTATTGTCATTTTTGATCCTTTTAATGCATTCTGAATAAAAGTTTTTTTTTTCCAAAAAAAGAAAAGGAAAAAAAAAACAGTGAACATGCACATTTAAGGAATGTATAATCCAGAACAGTTGACAAAATGCTTTAGCTTCACATAACCTGCAGAAAATCCACCAGATGTTCTGCATGTTATGTAAAACCAAAGCAGAAATCTACCAAAGTCCTTGGCTTGTACTGTCTCCAAGCACTTATTTATACTGTGGTTACTTAAATGGGGAGCATATGGCAGGTCATGACACCAAAGTTCTTGTTTTTGTGTGAGGGTGAGGCAGTGAGCTAAGGTTTAATAATGATAAAAATTCTGATTTAATTTGTATCTCTCTCTGTGTCTCTAGGAGTATTAGAAAATGGTGGTTGGCTCTGCCACCCAATAAAAAGCAGCTGTTTCGTGAATGGACATGGTGTCGACGCTGGCACTTTGTGGGAGCTGGGACAGGACTGCTGTTCTTCGTCTGCCTCTTTTTATTCACTCATCTGGATGAATCTCCAGTGACGGGCAGGACCCGACTGCTGGTGTTCAGCAGGGAGAACTTTATGGAACTGGCTCAGGTCACTGCGGAAGCGGAGCAGTTTTTAGTCATGTCCACACAACTGGTTTAGTCTGTTTTCAGTTATTTATTTTTTTGTGTGGTTGGAACCAGTTAATTTCATATGAATTTAGGATCAATAACAATATTTCAAGAACAACATGCCTCAGGCTGGTCCAAAATGATTTGTGTGAATTAGTTTTTTTTTTTGGTGCAATTGGATGTTATGAAAATGAAATGTGGTGTTTCATTTCACAAATCACTTAATTGAATTCCATTTGATTTCATGGACTCTTGCTCCTCTTTCTCCTTCGTTCTCTATCTCAGTATATGGAGGAGTTTAAGGATTCTCTGATCGCTCGATCGGATCCCTGGCATCAGGCGGTGGAGTTAGTGGTTCGGATTCTGGCCGAGAGAAACCGGGACATTGCTGAGATTACCTCTGTCCCCTGGACGGTCCATGTGGTGGACGGTCCTACAATCAATGCGTTTGTTTTGCCTGTGAGTCATATCTGGTAACAACCAAAGGATTTCTCTAATAAAGAAAGCAAATCTATAAATTTTTTGGCAAATTAAGAAGCAACTCTGACTGCAAAGAAATCATCAGTCTTAGAGTTTGCTTATTATTTAGATGACTTGCTTCTTCATTATCCAACCTATTGTACTGTATGTTGAACATTATATACATACACAAATAAAGAAAATACACCGTATGAAGCACTGATACAGTATTTTCAGGAAAAGTTATACTACATATACTCAATATACACAACTGTTCAAATGTTTGGGGTCAGTAAGATTTAAAAATATATATATTTATTTAGCAATGACAAAATAAACTTAATTGAAACTAAACTGACGTGACAGTTAAGACATTTCTTATGTTACAACATATTTATATTCCCAAAAAATGCTGTTCTTTAAATTAAAAAGGTATGACAATTTACATGAAAATATTAAGTAGGGCTGTGCAATTAATCGAATGTGATTGTCAAGCGCATCTTGTCAGTAAAGCCGGTTCTGTGATTGGTAGTAAATCTCCATCACCTGCTTTCAGGTTGAGAGCCATTTAATACACAGAGCTGTAGTTCACTGACAATTAGGCAATATCGTGTTCATAATCGCAGATGAATCGCATTCGATTATGAACGTGATATTGCCTAGCTCGTCAGTGAACTACGGCTCTGTGTAGTAAATGCCGCTCCATCTGAAAGCAGGTGATGGAGATTTACTACCAATCACGGAACCGGCTTTACTGACAAGATGCGCTTGACAATCACATGCGATTAATTGCACAGCCCTAATATTAAGCAACACAACCGTTTTAAACCGTGATAAGAAGAAATGTTTCTTGAACAGCAAACACCAGAATGTTATTATGATTTCTAAAAGATCATGTGACACTAAAGACTAGTAATGATTGCTGAAAATTCAGCTTTGCCAACACAGAAATAAATTACATTTTAAAATATAATAAAATAGAGCATAGCTATTTCTATTTACTAGTAATTAGTAATTGTAATAATATTTTACAATATTTCTGTTTTTACTCTGTTTGATCAAGTAAAGACTATTTCATTGTAGTATGTATATGTGTGTATATATATATATTTCATCAAAATCTTTGTAAAAGACATATACAAAAAAAAAATATAGATAGATAGATACTTTATCTAATACTCATTCTTGAATTTCCTGTTTGTGAAAGTACCCATACAGTTTTGGATATTTTCTCTTATTAACTGTGTGTATGAACTTTTCTTCATACAGTTTAGTACTCCCGTAGAGAGAGAAGTATGTTCTTAATTCACTGCAAATGATTAAAGAAAATCTTGAGACTGATTCCTTGAGGAGAAAATGATTCTGATTTAACAGCTGGAATGGTTGTGTGTGTGTGTGTCAGAATGGAAAGGTCTTCATCTTCACAGGAATGCTGGAGGCTGTAGCAGACATCCATCAGCTGGTCTTTATACTGGGACATGAGACGACTCACGCTCTGATTGGTCATGCAGTAAGTCCCGCCCACACTGTCAAACCTCTGCACAGAAACACCCAAATGGACATTATTTTTGTCATTTTATCAGGATCTATTTTAATCCAATAATGAAATATGCTGAAAGTAAAGTATCCAAGTGCGTAGTTAAATTTCTGTAAGTGATCTTTCCCTTAGGGTAATTTTGATTTCATTTTAAATGTATACGAGTATTAGATGGTTTGCTACCCATTGTGTGATGGTTGTAGGGTCTTCACACTGCCTCTGGCCTTTATAGTTTGGATCAAACTAAATTTATCCTTCCTTTGCTGTGTCCCTCAGCTTTTTTCTGGAAGTAAAAGACCCTTCATTAGATTCAAGTGCTCACTTTATCTCTCTTTTGCGTGTGCCATGTTTTACTTTCATCTCTTCTCTTGGTTTAAATGAAGAGAAGGAGGCGTCCTGTCTCAGAGGCACTAAGCGATGTTAAGGGTTGGGTTTAAAGAGATGTTTTCGTTTCAGAGCTGTTGCATCACTGCGTGCTTGTGGGTCTGGTTAGGGTGATGAAGCTTAACACTGATATCAGGACTGATATGATGTGGTTGTGAAAAACTAAATTGATTTAGTACATTTTTCTGTGACACTAAAAAGTCCCTTTAAAGCCTAGAAACACGCTTTTAGACTCACGAGTGCTTTCTTTGTTATTTCAAACCGCAACAAGCTAGCAGATGCTGGAACAGATTTCAAACCTGCATGCACACTGTCCCAGTGATTGTCTGTTATTCTGATAGCTACAAGCAAGATGAAAAACTAATTGGCACACATTATTTATTTGATTCATATGCAGCCTATTAGAATGATTTGTGAAGCATCATGTGACACTAAAGACTGGAGTAATGGATGCTGAAAAATCAGCGTTGTCATAAAATGTGGTGCATTTTAAAACAGTCAAATATAAAATGTAAATTCTTCACAATATTACTGATCAAGTAAATACAGCCTTGGTGAGCATAAGGGACATTCAAAAACATAAAATCTTATTAATGGTGGTATATATGTGAAACACAAAATGTCCAAGCAGCTCTTTTCCACACTGAAGGAGGTGAAATATGGCTGTCACATATATTTTGTTTGATATATTTTATGAGCTATTTAAGTATTTTGAATGCAATATCTTTGTGTAAGGACCAAACCAAAATTTTAGTTGATACAGACAATGAAAATCATATGTAAAAGCATAGATATTTGGTAAACATCTCTCATAATATGGAGGACCAAACCTGCAGGAATGAAAAATAAATAAACGCTATTATTTATCATTTTTTTGTTTTTAATTTCTGCAGGTTTGGTCCTCTATACTATTATACTATGTTAAAATGATTTTAAAAAATGTGAAAATAAAACAAAACCATCCATTTTAATGCAAATAAGCTATTGTAATAGGTAAAATTATTATATAACAGTATGATTCCCATTACAGTATACACTTATCACAAGCAATCCTTAATCTCAGAATGCTTCTTCAACACCTTTTATTATCATATGACCATGAAGCTGACATAATTACCCAACAAATCTGCTTTGCGGCATGTACCCGGCCACTCGTGGACATGTGTTTTGGTATATCTGTTGCCCTTCTTTCAATACAATGTGTATCGCAATTACAATTCAGTGTGATTCATTATGTCTCTCTTTGCTAAATTGCTTGTTTCTTTTTGTTTGTTTTTCTACATTGTTTCTAATTGGGCATGCTGTCAAAGAATGGGCTGCTAAGCAAGATAAAAAAAAAAAAGGTTCTTAACACTGAAATACAAACAAATTAGCATAGTAGATAAATGACGAAATCAACAAAAACAGAAGCCCATAATGAATTTCTCTCTCTTTCTCAGGCAGAGCAGGCCAGTTTGTCTCACGTGGTGGAGCTGTTGTCTCTCATCCTGTTAACGGCGATCTGGGCGATCTGTCCTCGGGACAGTTTAGCAGTGCTGGGCCAGTGGATACAGGGCAAACTAGTGCAGGTGACAGCTGACCTTATGATCTCTCTCTTTCTCTTTTTTTCAATTGATTCATAATCATTTTCAACATGTTTCCACTGGTTGCGGCCCTTTGTCTTGCTAGTCTCGAACCAATGTAAATCTAATATGGTTACATAGAATATAAAAAAATATATAGTTTATTTTAAAATATTTTACGGGTTATATATTTTTATGTAAATGCTTGCATATATTATAATTTAATAATATGACTTTTGTATATTTTGTGTGTGTAGCTAGACAGACAGACATATATATATACACACATACATACAGGCTGACACAGACAGACAGATAGATAGATAGATAGATAGATAGATAGATAGATAGATAGATAGATAGATAGATAGATAGATAGATAGATAGATAGATAGATAGATAGATAGATAGACAGACAGACAGACAGATAGAT